ACAGTTTTTATTCTGAAAATCATTAGATAAAGGTGAATTAGGAGCTCGCACAAACTTTATATCTTCCTCTTCGTATTCCCAATCTGTTTCAGGTTCGCTTTGATCGGCTAATAATTCACCAAGGTCCATATCATCGCTGCTTTCATCCATAACTATTTTTCAAATTTCTTCCATATTTGAATAAGTTCTTTTGTAACTAGCCATTTTTAAAAATGCTATATCTTTTTAACTAAGATAAATTTTGACGAACGGTTTTCAGCCTATGATGTAATAACTATTCTATTTTCCATATCTGTAAAGAACACAACAAAAAACGCTATAAAACCGTGTTTAAATCGTAGAAGTTGAAATGACCCGCACAGCGGATCACAGGGAAAATCGCGATATTAGTTACGACCCGCTGTGCGGGTCTCAGGGAGTGAAAGGGTTAAGTAGTGATGTGGTTTTTGGGGTGCATTTAGCAAATTACCATAAAAGTCAAATAACAACTAGAATAATGTTTATTATAACATGAAATTACAAATTAAGCATGAAATTTTAGAAGAATGTTTTAGTTACACATAAACTCAATATTCATAAATCCTTCATTGCTCTCTGAATCTGCATTAAATAAGCTATCACTATCTGCATTAAATAAGCTTTTTTTAATTTGTTATTGTTCTTTGCAAAGCTACAGCAGGAAAAATCATTGAAGGTTTTTTTTTCCATCAACATGGCATGCTAACTTGCTGCATTGACATTTTAAAATATTGTGGCCTTTTGGGCATTCCCTCAACTTTTTTACTCTATAAATGCCTTCAGTACACACACATTTCTCTTCACATTTAATAAAGAGTTTTTTTCTTGTTCTTTTTTTTCTACATTTTGCACTTGTTTTTGAACTTGTTGTTCTTTCTTTTCATTAATGTCTTTAACAAAACTCAAAACATCTTTAGCCTTCATGGACCCATGCACTTGAGTTATTCGTATTGAGTTGGTTGATAGCTTTGGCTTTTCTTTTTTAACGGTCATAAAACCTAGTATCTCCTCTAATTGGATGCTTTTCTCATGCAACTTTTTAGTCAAAGTTTGAGCACTTTCAAGTTTTTCTTTTCAATACAATGCTGACCCTTTTTTTTTTATAAGGAGAAATAACAAAAGAGGAATCTGTGCTCATGATTGATGGTGTGAATGAAAATGATGGCTCTTCAGGAATCTCCATACAATTATCTGCTCTGTCAAACTTGTCTTGTTGCATGAATTCAAGGCTTAAAGCTTCATTAGTTACACCAACTTGCTTTGCAGTTTTAATTTTTAGAGAGGATTTTGTTCCCCATTTATCCCATGTATTGGTTAAAATAAGCATGAATGCTTCTTTGTTTAGTGCATTTGCCTCAGTAAACATTTTGTCTTTTTCTTTTCTATATTTGTGATGAATCTTTTTGTATAACTGGTCTAATAACTGTGTAACCCCTGTTGTATCTAGAGGAGAAAGAAACATACATATATCTTTTGATTGAAGGAATGATAAAACATGATAATCAAACCTTGAACTGTGTCCATCTGACAATAGGACTACAGGTCTTTTAATATTGTTCTCTTTCAAATACTTATCAAATTATTTACCAGCAGCTAAAAGTGTGTAGCCATCTGATACACCATGTTCTGAAGTGGTTATTAGTAGATGTTTTATGTAGGTTGCTGCTTCATTTGGTACCATCAGGCTTTTTATACCAACATTCTCTAATATCACTTGACACATACAGACTTCTCCTGGAATTGTAAGATATAGTTTTATTAGTAATATTATTTCAGTTTAAGTTAGTTTAAAAAGTTTCTAAGAAAAACAGTTTTATTACTTTCATTTTTAAATATATAGAGAATCTAAGTTAAATTTAGTCTCGATGAAAAGAGATTTTTTTAGAAAATGTAGATTATAAGAAAACACCCTTTTTACAGCTGGCTATGATGGAGAAAGACCGACCAATTTGTAAATAATAAATACTATTATTTACAAATTGGTCCAATTTGTAAATAATAAATGACACAAATTTGTAAATAATAAATGACACAAAGGGATGAATGCTAACACATTCTCTGTTTTCTTTTTGTATTTTTTTACATTGATCTCCATTGGCACCATAGACCAAACCAGAAGAAGTTCCATCAACACCATAATGAATGAGTTTTAATGAGTTTTCATCATTATTAAAAATTCTTGTGGTGTCAATATTTCCTTTCCAAATCCCTTCCTCAATACGCATTGCTTCTGTCATAATTCCAGCTGCAATAAGTTCCCCTACTAGTGTATCTACAATATAATTGTTTAAATCAGTTATACCTATTAGCACTTTAAAAGTAGGGAAAGAACTTTAAAGGGAAACACATTATTATAAAAAAAACAAGTTATGTATTCTTTAAAAACATAAAACATAACATATTTTCAATAACAAACAAACCTAAGTGATTGGGAGCCATTTTTCTTGTACATTTTAAGGCTCTGTTGATTGGCACTTGTTCCTGACGTTTGACTTTTAAACTATCATGCTTTGCATGAAATCTTAGCCAAAATGAGCGACCTGAAAGAAAAAAAACAATGCAAACAAATCAAAATATTTTTTTAAAGCTTTTTAAAGTTTTTTTAAGTTTATTTAAACTTAAAAAAACTTTAAAAATTTGAATATTTTTAATTTTGAATATTTATTCCTGTATAAGAAATAAAAGTATTTTTACAAGTTACTACAACAATAATTTAAAGTATAGACTAGATGAAAGTTGTTAAGTTAGTCACCTGTGGTATAGATACAGGTGTATAACAAAAATAAATTATTGTTTGATGCAGTTTTTAATGTATTTTTAGATATCAAAGAAACACTAATGTGGTTTTTGAGGTATATATGATGTAATTATTGTAGTGAAAAACAAACTAGGAATAAAATAAGTCTACAGTCACATATCAGTGATGAACCCAGACTTGTTTTAGTACCCTTTTACCGGTATGGGCGTCCAAAAAAAAGCGCCGAAAAATTATTTTTAATTTTGATTTTGAGTTTTTATGAAAATTAGAAAAAAAAATTAGTTTTAAATGCAGTAATATATAAATAATTCTCAGTTTAATTTAGTTACCTCATTTTTTCTTCAGGAAAATAAAAAGAATTAAAAAGAAATTGCTTTTTTACATAACTACGTGGCGTAATTTGCCTTCGATTATTAACAAGACATAATTTTAAAAAAATGAAAATTGTTAAGAAATTTTAAATTAATTTTAAAACCACGCTGCAAAATTTTATAACAATGGAATGTATAAAAGATTTGTTTTTTTGAGAGTTAAGCGTTTTTAAATATCCATTCAGGGTAAGGTTAATTTTTCTTTTTGGCAATTAAGAGTAACTAGCTTTTGATAGTTACAAGGACTGATATTTAGCAAAAATATCAGTCCTTGTAACTATCAATAACAGAACAAAAATATCCTTGTAACTATCACGCAAGTTTAATTTTTAAATGAATGAACTTTTAATCTTTAGCTTCGTCCACCAGTAAATTCATTTATTCAAAAAATGCCTTTAAATCAACACTTTATTGTAGTGTAAAACTGAACAAGATAAACATAAATGATTATTAAAAAAATGATGATTAAAAATTATTGTTGCGGCAACCGTTTAACAAGAGGAGAATGAGGGGGAGGGGGAAATCAAAAACATATTTCTCCCCCCCCCCCCCCCCTCCCCCTCAATGTTGCTGAAAAAAAATAGTATCTCCAAATAAATTCTGGGTTCTTCACTGCATATACAATTTACTCAGAACATCATAAAACTAATGCAAATCAAATCCTGAAGCTTAAATTTATTTAGATCATGTTTTATAAGCATTTTTATTGATGTGGTTTTTGAGGTGCGTAGTTAAAAAACAGTGACTTTTTGACAGAGTGAAAAATAGTAACCATTTATAAATAAATTTTTAGCAACCTTCAGGAAGAAGTTATTTTTAGTAGTAGTAATGAAACATATAAAGAGTTTTGTCAATACCTCATCTAGAAAAAAATATGAGTATGGTATCATTGATGTGGTTTTTGCATATACCTGTACTGATTACTAATATCATTCAAACCTGATTACCTGGTTCATGGTACCAAAGTTGATATTTCTGAAAAAGATATGGATCTATACAAAAATATAAATTAATTTTTTTTTGGTATACATCCATGTTAATTAATGAAACATAAAAGTAATAGTCAATTATAAGAATAAAAATCAGAACTTCAAGTATGTAAATTAAATAACTAAAATAACTTGTTACTCCAAAATATATATTAGTATCAGTATTCCTAATATTCTAAAAGCTTATACCGAAGTTATTATTTTATAATCATCTTGAAACTTATGTAACAAGTACAACAATGACAAATAATGACAAGGTTTGAATATCAAATTAAGTATTTCAAATTTTATGCAATCTTTATTTGGTAAAGATTTTGAGTATAATACTTGAAAGATATTTACTTAATAAATACTTAAAAGAATTCTGAAGTACCACTACAGTTATTTGATGTTTGAATGGTAATCATACAGTTTCTTAAATGAAAATTTTTTAAAAATTACTTGTGATTAATTTTCTATATTCATAACAGTTGTGTGGATAAGATATTGAGTTTGGATAACTGGTTAATTTTGGTGATTTCTTTGATATAAACTCCATTTCTTGTATTTTTCTCACTCTTTAAACACAACAATTTGAAAAGTCTAAATATTTTAGTTGTTATAGAGGTTAATTATTAGCTAGAGCGCATTGACTAAAGCTATCTAACTATTTTACATAAACATTTATATACATTCTATTTAATTTGAATGTACAGTCAGTAGAGTTGCATCAGCATTACACAAACAAGAATGAAGTAATCAAATAAAAAAAATTTTAACAAAATCTTGTTTTATATGAATGAAATAAATTGTATTAAGTTTTGTGATTATAATATAATTTTACTACTTAAACTAAAATCATAAAATAAACTGTTTATTTTTTAGAACTTTCTGAAATAATACACAGTCGAAAGCAAGCTGATGGACTGATAGAATATTATGTTCACTATCAAGGATGTAAGTTAAAAATATGAATTGAGTTAATTTATAAAAATAATAACTTTACTAGCATATAAAGGCATCTGGAAAAATTGGAAAAGTTATCATCAAATGGGGTGAATTTGATAATCAAGGTGACTGATAATTTTGATTATTGCAAAGTAACCTCCCATTTCTATTTTCTTATTTTCGATAAATAATCTTTTTTTTTATATTCTGATAATTGTGCTGTAATTTTAACCTAGGTATATGTTAGAGTTAACCAGTATCAAACAACAAAAAAGCAATTTTCACATGTGGGAAAATTTTAAAAAATATCAGGAATCTTAAATCTATTTTAAAAATTTCAGGAATCTTATAAATTAAATTTCTAAATACCCATATTTAGATGTTTAATTAGATATTCCAGTGATATAACAACTGAAATATACAACTTGTTTTTGGTTACTCACATTGCTCTGTTGATATGGACAGTCCAAACAATTATTTTATTATAGATTTTAATCAAATAATTGCTAATATTAAAAATGATTTAACAAACTTTATAAAACTTGAAAAATGCAGATTTATAATTTTTTAAATTTTAAATTAGTTAAGTTCTTAAAATAATGTAATAACTTAGAATGTGGAGTTGAATTATAAACTCTTCCATGTGTTTATACTGGTGTTAAAAATATAGCGATGAACAAAAGTAATATAGCAATTATTACCCCTCATCTGGTGGAATAAACGTTAAAAAAAAACTAGTAGTATAAACTTTACAACTATAATTTCGCACTCAAGAATAAATAAAAGTTTATCAACAGATTTAAAAGTCTATTATCAAATCATCAGGTGCTCAGGTCATTATTAACAAATCTATAGATTAATTATCATTTTTCTATATAATATTGTAATTTTTTTTATTTCTCTCAGAAAATCTAGAACTGGGAAGTTTGTGCAAACTTTGGTTGTTACTTAACATGGATGCGGAGTCCCAAAAAGGGTTCCGGATTTGAAAGTCACAAAAAGATTACTTATTTCTAGTTTTTGGTATCCAGGAGCTTTAAAAATATAGAAAAACTTATGGGCTACTAATGGGGAAAAAATCAAGACTTATAGGTCAGAAGAACAATCAATTTTTAAACCTAGAGTCTTTAGGTATAATGGCGGCAAGAACTCCAGGACTCCGGGCTTAAAAACAATAAGTTCCAAGTCATTAAATAACATAAATTTTTTTCTTATAGCAAATCATTAATCAACCAACATTTTTAGAGCTTCTGGACACCAGAGGCCAATAATAAGTAAAGTTATAAAGCCGGAGTCCTTTTGGGACTCCACATTTCTGTTACTTAACTTTAATTTTCTTAGAGATGTTATAATAGAATCACTGGACACAAGAAGCCTATTAATCAAATCTTGGTTTGTATCCTTTTTCAAGGTATTTCTGATAAAATGTTCCCAAAAGTTCTTAGAGTCTTGAAATTGCGTTTGGATAACGCCTCTAATGTCTCTTCTAATATTATTTTAATTGTATGGTATTGTCTTGTAATTATAGAATAACTATTAGGGTGTAAAATTTTATTTTGAAACCATTATCATTATGTTTAAGTAGCTTTCAGTGAAAAGTTTTAAAGCCAACTTTAAGGTAAAGAAAGTGTTTTTATGCAATCTCAACTTAATAAAATTTTTTCAGTTTTTTATTTTCAGTTTTTGTATGCAGAGATCTGGGAATTTAAAATATGCACAAAACAGTGATTTAGATAATATTGATTATATCCTATAGAATAAGGAAAAAAAATATTTTATTTCACAATTTTGTTATAGATTATATACAATTTTGTTATAGATTATATATTATAGAAAAAGTTCTTAATTGATGTTTATGATTAAAAAGCAACATTGTGTTGTGAACTATTATACTTTTTGTATGCTTTACAGATCCTTTATGTGACTTTCTTGATCTGCCTTTCTGAATACAAAAAAAATATTGAAAGAAAACAAGAGAAAAAAAAGGATACAAAAAAAAAGTTGAAAGAAACAAGAGACTAACAAGAGTTGAAGATTCTAAACTCTAAAAATTCAAACCTTGGTAATTGTTACAGTTTAGCTATTGAAATATTATATAAAAAATACTATAATAGTTTTACTGGCATATTATTGCCAGTTTATTGTACAGTAATGTACCTAATAATGTGTTCTTCCCTGCTCATGGTTAGATCCTGTGTATTTAAAGGATAATTTAAATATATGTGTGGTCAGGAAATAAACCAGAAGCTGGTAAAGATATTTGACTTTCCTTTTCTGGAAAGTGTTTTCTCTGAAGTGCTATGGTGTTAAATTCTACTGCAAATGAGTGCCTAGCTCTTTGACCATTGCCAGTCATTTCAACCATCTTGTGACCAGTCAAATATGACATTCTTTTTGTTTGCTTGGACTTTTTGTCAGGTCAAAAACAAGTTTTATGACATAAGTTTCATATATGTAGTATCTGCACATCAACCAGAGAAAAAGCCTTCCCAAAGCACGATCAACAACACCCTTTATGGCTCCTTTATTCTCGCCTGTGTTGCTGGCTGTGATGTCCGCACACTCACCGATGATCTGATCTGAAAGGTTTATAGTATTAAAGGATATTTTGAATAGCAATGACCTAATCCTTTCTCTTGGTGCTTTCAATCTTTAAAATGCCAAGTAAAAAGTCACTTCAGACAAAGAAACACAACAATTCTTTTGTGATCCTAAGTTAAATACTAATTGTACTTCTTTTAAAATTTTCCTGGTCTTCATAACAGGCATAAAAGTCAGAATCTAGCAGGATTGAGGTGCGGAGAAAAAAAACTAGACAAAAGTTTTTAGAGCATGCAGGAACAGATTCAGTAAAAGAATGAGACTTTGCTGAATGATGAGTCAAGCAAAAATGAGTTTTAGTTGATGGAACTAGAAATGATAGCTCCTTTGAGCAACAATGATGATAGCATTTGTAGAAAAGAGAAAGAGATGCAGTTTTACAATGACGGTAAAGAGTCAAGATACGGTAAAGACGGTTAAAAAGCTTAAGCTTAGCAGATAGGTCAAACTACGTTTACAATGCATTTTTGGACCTTGTCTAGAAGAGAAAGAGCATTATTAAAAGAACTAGCCCAAATATGACAACACTATTCCATACATGGACAAATAAGAGATTTGAAGAGGTAGTGAATGGAATCAAAAGAGAGAAAACAGCAAGCAAGATGAAGAGAAGCAACCTTAGAGGATGTTAGTTTAGCAATCGTTTTTTTATATGGTTTCCATGAAAGGTCAGAAGTAAATAATAATCTAAGAAGATGTAAAGATGAGGAATCAGTGAGAGAGTTGTCATTAATATAGGAATGTCGACAGTACTGCGATAGTTGTTTACAGTAAACAATTGAGTTTTGTAGGGGTTAAAACTTACAAGCCACTGTGAACCACAATCTGTTACAGAGGTGAGTTCAGATTCAAGATCGGCTGTCTGTTCTAAACGATCGAAAAGAGAAAACTTTAGATGTTAGGTTGTTGGGAAAATCATTAATGTAGATAAGAAGCGAAACATGACTAAGAATAGAACCTTGAGGTACCCCATAAGTAACTGGAAATAAAGAAGAGTGTTGGCCTAAATGGATGACTTTAATAAAGTGATTATAAGTTTAAGGGGCCAAAATGTTCGCCTAAGTTTTTGAATGTTGGAACAAAAGATGCCATATTCCACCAGGCAGGAAAACACCACTCAGTCAAGCACTTGTTAAATAGTTTTGAGAAAAATGAAGTGAGTTCTGGAGAACAATTTTGTAAGGCTATGACAGGAATGTTGTCTGGATCACAAGCTGTAGAAGAATTTAATCGATATTTAACAATGGAAGCTGGAGTGATTCGAATGTCTAACAATAGGTTAACCTGTTTAATTGAAATGGAAGAAAGGGTATGGCCATTAGATTTAAAGTCAAATTTAAAGAAAAGCTCTTTACAAATAGTTCTCCATTTCCTTGGGAGTAGTAATAAGATCAGCCCCATGAATGAGAGATGGAATGTTAGACCTACCTTTGTTAACAATGATGTTGAAGATTTTCCAAAAGTCTCTAAAGCCTAACTTCTGAAATAAGATACGAGATTTAGTGAACTGAAAATAATGGAGCTTAGCATCTGACAGCACCTTTTTACATTGATTTCTTGCAATGATAAATAACCGTTTGTTCTCAAGAGAGTTGTTCTTTTAAAAAAGATGGAAAAAAAATGTTACAATGAGTTATAGCAGCTGCACAAGAGGGTGAAAACCATAGAGCCAAATGAGGCTTGACTTGGAACCAACGAAAAGAAATTAAAGCTTTTATTCCTGCCTGAATCCAAGAGGTTACATAGGAGGGGCATTTTTCAGCTGAGAGGGAAAAGATATCAGCCCAAGGGCCATCATTAAAAAAATTGCCAAAAGAATCTTATTTTTAGGGTTGTAGTAATTAGTATGATGAAAGAGTGAGTCCTAAAAGGAAGTACGAGATAAAAGGTTTAAAGAGATCATTGCATAGTCAGAACCACCTAAAGGCAGTAGCGCAGCGATGGGCCTGCAGCCGTGGGAGAGCCCAGAGTTATTAGGAGCCCAAGCCATGTTTTTCTTCTTTTTTTTTAAAGTTGTCATTCTTTAAAAAAATAAGCATGTACATAGCAACATTAGCAAAATTTGCTGTTATTATATAGCTAAGATCTACAAACACTTTTTCAGACAAATTTTTTAGCTTTAATAATAATCTTGAGCAATTCTTCAAATGGAGAGCTTTTATTTACTTGTATCTAAAAAATTAAAACAAACTATATTAACACATAAATATACAATTTAGTTAAGTGGTAAGTATGATGTTATGCGGTTTTAAAGCTAAGTACAATAGTGAAGCTATTGTATTCAAACAATAGTTTGCTTTAAAAGAAATATTGCTAAGACGGATGTTGAGGTGGCAGTGTAGCTATCTTCATTATTGAAGTATTTATCTTTTATGAAGTTAATTAGTTTTATAAAACTTTTCTCAAAC